GTACCACATCATTTAGCACTTTTGTATTGCATGTTGTATAGCACCAAGACCTGCCTGGTGGTCAGGCTTAAATCCCTCTATCAATCCCCCACACCCTCAGCCCTTTATGTAGGAGATAATGGAGTCACAGTTCAAAGTACCGTATATCACGGCCTATAAGACGAAATTTGAACATTAAAAAAATCTGCCCAAAGTTAGGGGGTCGTCTAAACCACCAAGTTTAAAATTCTTACCTCTTAAATATTGTGGTTTAGTGTGTCAAGAGTGGTGATGAAAACATCATAAGCCACTCACAAGGTCTTACCACTAATTATTTTATACTGAAACTTACGTTTGGCAAGCTGGATTCAAATTAAGATTACCGGTATATTAAAATAATAAAAATGTATTATAAACCTGTCTAACATACCGTAAAAGAGATTTATACCCCTATAATAAACACAGCTATCATCACACACCCCTCCCCACGCCCCCCCCCCATTTGCCAGTGAGGAGCCGTGGAGGTGGTCAGTAATGCATACCGGTATCGGTATATTTACTCATAATAATATTTATCTCCTATAAATAATTGATTTAAATTTTATTTTTTTCCAAAGAATATTCAGTAAATGAGTGCATTAATTCTTGAAACTATCGACGGTTAATTACAGACGCTCAAGTGACGTCACTAGTGTTTACACTACACCAGCTGGTAATATTTGATGCCATTACTTGAAGTGAATTGGCCTTATTTTAAGTAACTAACTATAAATAAATACAAAAATTAAAAAAAAAGATCAAAACTGAGAAATAATATACTGTATGTATGTTGTGTTGTCAAAGTAAGAGGAACAATTGTGTAAGTACGTAATATTTTTTCACTCAAATCCTAATGAAACACTACTGGAGAACATTCCTTTGTCGCAAAACAGTTTATAAATTAAAGAAAATAATTACAGTGTGTTTAATATATTACAGTATATTATAAATAAATAAATAAAACAAATAATTCGGTAAATCTATTTAAAGTAAATGGAAAATAAGCAAACATGTTATTTACCAAGACCCTTCCGTCTGGCTCAGGGTGAGATGTAGGGGAGATAAAGAAGGCTATTTATAGCCCATCAGAAGTGACCAGTACCCTAATGCACCATAAATAATTCATTGAACATTCATTTTTTGTACATAGTATATTCAGTATATATATATATATATATATATATATATATATATATATATATATATATATATATATATATATATATATATATATATATATATATATATATATATATATATATATATATATATATATATATATATATATATATATATATATATATATATATATATATATATATTTGTGTAATAAATGTATGTAGTAAGTACATACTGGTAACCTTTTTCACTCAAATCCTAATGAAACACCACAATTAGAATACGGTGGTTGCTGTTGAACCACATGTTGTATAAATAGTCACACCACCGAGACGAGGGAACACTCCCACCACGCTTCAGTGACGTCACTAGTGTTTACACTACACCAGCGGGTATAATTTGATGACATTACTTGAAGTGAATTGGCCTTATTTTAAAAAATCAAGGATGGTTGGTAAAGGACTACTGAGTCAGTGGGTAAGTGTCACATTTGGGGTACTGGTCTTATACAGCAAATAGAGCTCAAAAGCTACTTTTTTGGAAATGGGGGGTGATATGGTAAGAAAACTTAATTTTTTTTTTTTTATTATTTGTATTGATTATGACTATTATCTGCATATCAAAAAAAAGACATAGATCTCACTTAGTGAAGGTGCCATGAGATGTATAGTGACCATCTCCATAGTCAACCTGCATGTTATGTGTGCATAAGAATTAAGGTATCTAAATAAATGCATATGTCATAAAAGAAGAGAAAATTCCAGTTTTGTTACTGTGAAATATGATTGCTATTTCCAAGGGGAAGAGTTTGTGGTGTGGCTTGGTAGTATGTTGTAGACCTGACCCTGCTTGATACTGTATAGTCATGTTGTTTATCTCTGCTGTAAAGAACTTAAAGAGTTGTCTGCTTTAGATTATGATAAGTGAATTTGTTTATTTTTATATTTTGCAGATTATCATCTGTTGTTTTTTATGCACTGGCTTCCTTTTCCCCTTCAAAATGGTAAACGAAGAAAAAATGTATGCAGTATATAAAAAGTTGAAGACAACATACCTAGTGCATTTTGTTTAGATGCAGTTATCCATATGACTTGAACTGCAAGTATTTATATTACTTTTATAGTAATCTCCCCATTAGCCAGAATAATTGGTACAGAGCTGTTCAGGGTTTGAGAGATTTCCGGGTATGGAGACAAATTTTATCATCCCCGGAATTTTTCTGGGTACTGGGGAAAGTTTTTAAAAAGACAGAGCTGTGTTTATTTATGCAAACACTACTATACATATACAATATATTGTAAATAAACAACATATACTACTGTATACACTAAAATGTACTCACCAGCCAATGCTATCTTCTTGAGCTTGTGATACAGGCAGACCAAATGTTGATATGTTAATACAGGATGGCCTGCCTTTGTCCTGTGCCATCTCCTGTAGCAGGTGATGCTTACTGTTACTCTCCTCCATGAAGGAATATACAAGTAAATATTAATGGTTGCCCCTTATGTAACAAGGATGGCCGACCCAAGGGCCACCTAGGCATGAATTTGTTTAAGGTGTAGAAGCAGTCTCCAACACAACAACCACACCCTAAGTTAACGAGTTGCATGACACAGTGTCAAGGAATAGTCCGAGAAGACTGGACAACTCGCCAACTGCACTGGCTAACCATTACCCCGGAACACGATCCACAAATGGATTGACATCCAGGTTCCCAATTACTGCTGGGCAGACAGAGGCAAATGGCATAAAGAAACTTGCCCATAGTTTCACCCTGCCTGAGGATCGAACTCAGGTCCGGTCACTTGCGAGACGAGCTTGCTGACCATTACACCATGAAGGAGGGATTGTACAAACACACACACACACAGACACTGTACAGCTCCTCCCCGACTTACGACGGGGTTAGGGACCCAAATCCAGGTCATAAGTCGAAATGGTTGTAAGTCGAAAATGCTTAAATAATACATAGAAAATCTAAAATGGGTGTCTCTTTTTCTTCTCAGCACCAGAAAACTCTCACTTTTAAGCTTGCCAGCCATTTTAATGTGAATTACAAACAAAAATTTTGTCAGTACACAGCGCATTCACTGACGTTGGGACTCGAAAATACGTAATTTGACAAAATTTTGGTACGACTGAGGCGGTCGTAAGTCGAGGAGGAGCTGCATACTGTACATACACACACTACCCTAAAGTAGGCATACACTGTTCACTCTGCACAGTATAGTAGGGTCTTGGAGTACGTGTATCCATAGTACGCGACTTCGCTTATGCGACTAACCCCCTAAACCTCCTTAACACTTGGGTTTCGCTCTCACACAAGCAAACACACCCAGCTTCTCTCACTAGCTCAGCGTGTTGCACTTGTCCGTGCTCATTTGGGGGAAAAGAAAATTACTCCAATGTGGCTTAGAAATAAAGAAAATATTATATAAAACTATGAAATAAGAAAATGAATAGTATGGGTGCATATGTGTAGGAAGTGAATGTACATGTGGAGGCAATGGGCTGTAACTGTGTCACTGACTTGCCACCCAGCAGCACTCCATCTTCCCCGATGTGACGGCACACACACACACACACACACACACACACATATCTGAGTCAGCTGAGTGACTGCCCGGCTAAAATGCGTCACGTTGCCCATAGAATGGTTTGAATGTTTGTTTATACATTTAAAGTGTTCATATGGTACAGTACTGTAGGTTTAATATTTGCATACATTTGTACATTTAAGGTGTTTGTATGGTACCATTGGTTAAATTATTTTTAATGTCTTTCTCTGGCACTGGTTACGTGAGCATCTCTTAGGGCGTTTGCACTTGTACAGTTTTTCTTTGTTGGTGAATTTTACAGCAGTCATGGCCCCTAAGAGGAAAATTATTGGCAGTGCTCAGAGTGGTGAGAGTGAGAAAAAACTCATAGGTACTGTGGAAACTTTTGAAGGTAATGTCAAGATACATACTGTATTGGATTTATTAAGGAGTTGCATGTCGAATTCTGAAATTGCACGTCGGTTACCTTAGTAAATAAAGGGGTTATAAATGTAGAAATACAAGGGAGACACGAATCTACATGAATTCACACTTACGCGAGGATACCAGGAACGTAACCCTCCCGTACTCTGAGACCCAACTGTACTGTATATAGGGTACTCTTACACTTTATGAATGTATAGTACACTGTACATAACTGTAATCACTTTTTACATCTTAACACTGCTTTAACAGTACCGGTATTCTTGGCTAATTACATGCTAGTACAGTAATGTGCAGTGCTTTACAACACAGAAAACAGCAGTGGGCAAACGAACAAACTTGTAAGATGGCAGCAGAAAATGAACTAAGAGTGTCATTATGCAAGAGTTTGAGGAGGTAGACTGCGAGATACATCAGCCAATCATAAGCATCCCATGCAATCACATGACAATAGTGGCCAATAGTAACTCACGAGCACTCTGAGCCTACCCATCCACGCACCTGGCATGTGTCCCTGCATTGGAAACATGATGCAATCTCTTGGAAATTCATTCTGATAGCCGAAATGGAGAGATTTTCCCAAAATACCTCGTAATGCTAAAAAAAATGTCAGCTATTGGAAAGTGCCAGGATCAAAGATTCCAGCTAATGGGGAGATTACTTGTACATCAGGTATATACATGTGATTACAGTGACAAGTTAATATTTTAACAGATTTCAAATCCAAACTAAAAAATGGAACTCGGTAACAGGGTATGAAATTGAATTCTTTTCTTTCAATAAATAAGTTGAAACTTTTTTCTGTTCTTTAGTCAAGGAAATGTGGTATGCACTGTATATTTTGCTAAGTCACCAACCTTGATAATGTGTTACTCCTAGGCCTGCATGAGTCGCAGTCACCCTTGTATTGAAGATGGATTTTCTGGTGAAGGTGGTAGTGCTCCCTCTCAACCTCCTCCACCCACATCATCAAGTGCTGCTCCAAACAACCCAGTGCCAGTGTCTTCTCCTCTCTGTGCCATGTGCCATGTACCATATTCTGAAACGTCACTGCCATTTCGTGTCAAGATTTCAAAGTGTGCAGTTTGCAGGTGAGTTACTGGTAACTCTAATGTTAAATAGAACTTTTGTAAAAAACCTACAAAGCCTGCCTTAGGGGGCTTGATATATGCTAGTGGGAGATTGTTTTGTTTTGAGGATCTCTGTAAGTGCAGTACTGTACAGTATACTGTACAATATAGTCTGGGTTTATGCGGATATTTTATACGCGTTTGGCCATTTACGCAGCACCTGTCCAGACGCGCCAATTATTAGTTAAGCGGTACATTCCTTAATTTACGCGGCAAGCGGCGGGCAAGCTGCTGGTCGCTGACGTCAGACTCATGCCGATAACGTCGCGGACTGTGATTGGGCCATGTTCCTTACCACCCACGCGAGCTGTGATTGGTCTATTTAACTTTGCCTGCCCTGCCACCAGGGGCGATGAGTCGATGACCTTGACTGCGTCAGTCCCATTGTCTCCCGTCTCCGCGTATACTCCCTCGTGCCCGCCACCCACCACAGCCAGCCCAAGTCAGTGATAGTGAGGATATGGACTTTGAGGGTTTGACAAGGAGGCCCTGCTAGCCTCTGTGGTGGATAGTGATACAGGTGATACAAGTGATACAGGTGAGGGCCAATAATCTGCCCTCTGCCTCAGAACCAATCCCCCATCCCCGTGTACCCAGCCATCTCTTCTACTAACGTAAGTGTTAAAAAACCTAATATTATTGATATTTCTCTTAAATATTAATTGTGTGTGCATACCATCATAAAATTAAGATGTTATTTTTACTACAACGTACGTATTGTGTCGGAAAAAGGGTAGTTTGGCGGTCGGCCAAGTCTCTATTTCAATTAATCCCATATGTTCTGTTATTTTGTTTACGCGTTATACGCGGACCTCCACGGGTTGAATTAGCCTCGTAAATCCAGACTATACTGTATAGGTCTTTATCCAGAAAATCAGTGTTGGAACAAAACTTCCAGTATCTTATATATTCATTACTTTGAAAGCTGTTGAGGCTTTGTGTTTACCTGACTGAAGCCTTTCGATTGATTCTCTTGTGAAAATTTTGTTTTTTTACAGTCCCAGTTTCCTCGCAATCGTATTTTACGTGTTGAACATTTACTTAAATATACCCTGTAGTTCTTACAATCTTAAATTATTGATGTAAAATTTCTTAATGTACCGTTATTCTTTCATCCATGATATCGAGAATTATCTGCCTTCATACTCACATACACTGGGGTCCTGTCAAAAAATGGGCCTGTTCAAAAATCTTTAAATTTTTTTATCTTTTCAGTTTTCAGATTTTTGGATAAAGGATCCTTGAACTGTAGTACTGTACAATATTGTAATTAATCCTCTTTTTTTTGTACAGATATATAGCTAATTGTATTTTTTTTTTTTACCTCTTTCACTGGACTGTTTATGTGCTTATGAAATGATAGAAAAAACACTGGAAATTGTTAAAGGGATTTTTATCACAAATATAACTTAGAATGATGTAATGTGCTTCAACCAGGGGTTAGGTGGTTGCTTGAACATTAGAACTACTCTTCATGCTGATAGGAAATCTATTTGCCTTAAAATCTCAGTGGTGAGAGCTGGAGAGTGAGGGCAACACTTATTGTCTGTTTGAGGGCAAGAATGAATGTGAGGACTGAACTCAAGAGACCCAAGTTTACAACTAAAAGTTTCATGTCACTTGAACCAACACTGGGGTTCTTTCCCATGGTCTGTAGACTTGTGTGCTTTCATCTTGAGATCATGGCTAAGGTTCCACTTGAGCTAACCTTATTTTCTGTATATATATTTATTAGGAATTATATACAGTATTATGAATTTAGTTCTCAAGGATTTGCTGGTCTCATACTTTCTGTGGTTGTAATTTACAGAAAAGGGAAGGTTCCTGATGTAATCTTCACCACATTGGAGCCACCTGTAGGGATATCTATTACAGGTAAATTCATGCTTATATATGTCACCATTTTGGTTCATCAACTACACAGGTTAATCTTTTTGTTTTGGCTAAACATTCTTCAGTCTCTGATAAATTGTTCTCCAAAGAATTTTATTTTACTGCTACTTATGTAAGTTAACATATTGAAGAAACAAGGAATTTATAAAGTTTCTTAGAATTCTTATAAATGAAGTGTAACTCTCACTGTATATCAATACGTACAGGAAAAGGATGTTTAATCCAAGCAAGAGTAGCTCGTTCCAAGCGAGATCTAAAGGGAGAACTTAATGCTAAAGAGATATCTGATTCTCTTCCATTCTTGGAGTACGAGTTACACAAGCAGCTCATCAATAAATTGAAGGTTGGTTCTTTCTCTTAATAATTATGTTTTTAAGTCTAATGAAGTAACATTTTTGGAACATCGTGATTAGATGATAGATGTGATTGGTAACTTTTACAAAGTAGATATTGTAAGAGAGACTCATCAAAATGATGGTCATATATGTATTACAGGTTGTGCATTTAGATGTACTTAATTTTTAAAGTAGATTGATATTAAGGTTTTTATAATCATTTATGTGCATCTTACATCCTGTAGATCAAGGGAATGAATGCACTCTTTGGACTGCGAGTACGGGTAACTGTTGGAGAGCGTCTCATTGTGGGTGTAGCCACAGCAACAGCTGTATTCCTCTCTGCTCTTCAACCACCACCTGTCCCAAGAGTGACTTCTGCTAGCAGTGGCCGGGAAGATGAAAGACATAGAGCTGAAGTTCAGAAACTCCTCCTCACTACAATTGCTCGGAACAAGGAATTCTACGGCACTAAACACATGATCTCGGTAACTGTTCCATGATTTAGATGTACCTGTATCATTATATCCTACAATATATATGTGTGTGTGTGTGTATGTGTGGTTGAATGGAAGGTAATGTGTAAGTCTCTAGTCATAGGCACAATTTTTTTTTTTTGTCAAAAATTTTCTTCAAGAAGTTTGGTTTTATTGGTGCAGTACTCTTCCATCGTCTCCCATTTAGTACAACACTCCTTTAGCATACACTCTGTAATTCTCAAGAAAATGATGAGGGATTAAAGCAAAGAAAAAATATGAGGTTAAAATGAATAAAAGATGACATAATATAATGAAAAGCATTTTGTGAAAAATGAGACAAGAATTATTATTCTAACTAAAATAACATGTTCTTTGTGGTGGAAAAAAGAGCAAAGAATTCCTGCAACCTTCTGAAGCTCCAAATGCATCTGAATCTAACCAGTCTTAGCCAACTCCTCCAAATGCAGCCAAACCTAACTAAATAATCATATACTATACTACCATCTTAACTCAAGGTTTGTGGAGAGCTGAACTGGTTAGCAGGAACTGGTAAAACTAATGTCCCAAGTGATTGTCTTAGTTTACTTTTCTTTTTATTAAAAATAGTTTAATGAATTGGTTTACTCTTTGAAAGGTGATAGCGTTATAAGGTACCAATAAAATATACTTTTTATGTGAAAAAAGTTTTGTGGGCAAAACATAAAAACTGTGGCCATGGAAATAAGTAAAAATTATTTGAATGGTAAAATTTACACAAATAGTACAAGTTAATCAGAATCTCGTCTAAGTGGCACTGACTCGTCTTTGCATCTTTTAAGAGAAAAAAAATTCACCCAAAATTTAGTACCATATATAGTGGCATATAAGACAACCTTTGAAGCTTAAAAAAATTCTCCTAAAACTAAGGGTCATGTTACTTCCCAGGTATAAAATGTGAACCTTAAATCATATGAGGCAGGCAGGGCCAGAGTGTCGCCTAACACTCACGAGGCACCACCGGTAACTCCAACTAAAAATATTTCCTACTAAAACTCATATTAGGTAAACTTAACATAGAGATTATATAAAAATAATGAAAATGCATTACAGTACAGGTATAATGAAACTTGTCTTACCTGAAATATATACGGATTGCAAGACAACCTTTTAGATCTAAACAAGGAATTCTACACCACGTGCTACAACAACTGATGCACAGTCAGATTGGTATAGTGATTTTGTATACATTGTAGCATATCTAACAATGTTTTAAAACAACCTCCTTATACACATAGCACTCCAATACACACACACACACACACACACACACACACACACACACAGTATTTTAACCTACAAAGTACTCCAACATGCCACCACCAATTTGTATATACTGTATCTTACTGTGGATACACATTGTTCAGTCCTTATAAAACACATTTATTTTGGAAATTTTAGACAAAAATTTGGGAGGGGGGGAAATGATTGTGATGGCATTAGACCAGAGTCGTGTTCATTGAATCGTCTGCTGTGTGTGTGTGTGGGACTCGCTCCCAGGGGTGGCACCAGCCAGTCCAGAAACTAGAAATACGCACACTTCTCACTTTTTTTTAAGGCAAGTCTTCATTGTTAAAACATTCTTATTGTAACATCATGTTATTGAATAACATTTAACAGTCTTAGGTAATTGCAAATAAGTAGCTGATAATGACAAATTTGAGCTTGTAGAGTATCTGATCTCTTGCACCTATTCGATCCTCAGAGATAAAATTTTTAATCCTTTTACTTAGTACATTTGAGTACAAAGCAAGTTCAATAATATGTTGCTCAAAATTATGTTTTTTTTAGTCATTTGAGTACAGGTTGTGATAATTTATGCATTGTGGTTGCAGTTGCAAAGCTTCGTGACATCACTAGTGTATAATGCGTCTCCATATGCCCAGGTTTGTTCACTGATCAGTTGTCTAAGTGCAAAAGTAGCCAAATCAAGCCATCATGTATCAATTAATTTTAAAATAGAAATTATAAAGTAAAATGTTATAAGACAATGGTTTAGTAGTGCTGTTAATGTGTGGCCTGTCACCTCACCACCTGACTCGCCACCTCATTAGTGCAGCTCGGAGTTATTGATTCATTATTGTACAGTATTACAGTAAGATCTCAAGTTTCGTGACTTATTGGTACCGTTTTAGTGTCGCAAAATTTAAAATCGCTAAACGAGTGACATTGAAATACATGTAAATAAGCCTAATCAGTTCTGCACTGTCACCCAAACCCCCCTATAATGATCTACAACCCACCAAGAAAATGACATTACTGTAATGTATTCATACATATTATATTGTACATGTTGTTGATAACAATATTTATATACACTCACCCTGTAGAATAACTTACCTTGATGGAGTCAGTGAAATGCTTGACGGGGCTGCTTGATGGGTTCTGAGGCAGGGAGGGCTGGTTACTCCTACCTCCCTGTTCTCTCCTCTACACCTCCTCTAACCTCAGCATCAAATCCCTCAAAGTCTTGAGGTAGCTCTTCCACCAGTAAGTCACCCAACACTTCAATATCATCATTAGTGGTGCCATCATCATCTCCTAAAGTGATGTTTGCCAAGGCAATAATAACAGACTGGGCCTTGCGCAGGTGCCGAGTAATAAGGGCCCTGTTGACGAGCATTAACATGGGACATGTACAAGGCCTTATATTCCTCCATAGCCTTATCAAGGGCAGTGCAGATAAGGTCCCGAGGATGAGGCCTGGCATCGAACTCGTCTCGCTGTTCACTGAAACGTGCGATAGTTGTGAGCACCTCAGTCAGTTGGCGTGTTGTAGGTTCACCAGGCTTAACGTCATCCTCTTGTGTTGCTTGCGGTTCTTCTTGTCCTTCATCCTCCTCTAACATTTCTTCAATTGTTGGTTGCTGCTGATGTTGACCAACCATTTCTTGCAAATCTTCAACCTGAACATCCGAAAATCCCGGTGCTGGGACTGACTGCACCGCACTGCCTCCACTGTGTCCATTAGTGTTGCCGCCACGGACTGCCTCTCCCCACTTGCCTCGGTCTGCTCTGCCTCACTTATCTTGGAGTTAGCGAACAAAGGCTTCCATGCGTGTAGCACTGTTGCAACATTAATCTTACGCCATGCCTCAACAATTCTGTCCACTGCATTTTTAATATTAAATATTTTCCAAAATTCACAAACTGATAAACACTTCACGATTGCAGGGTGGTGAGGTGCTAGGAGTCGAGTCATCTACCATCTCCTCCTCCTCCTCTTCCTCTTCCTCTTCCTGGTTAGCTGGTAGAGCCTGGTCACTGTCAGAAAGTTCTGCCTCGATTTGTTGTAACTCAACTAATGAGCTTGTCTGCTGACGAAAGTCTTTATAGAGTGACTGATAGTAGAACAGTTTAAAATTACTATACTGATGAATTCGTGGTCAAGTGGCTGCAGAAGCAATGTGGTATTAGGAGGAAGTAAGATAACTTTTACATTAGGGTGGCATCCAATTAGAAACTTAGAGTATCCAGGACCATTGTCCATCACCAGGATCACTTTGAAGTCAATGTTCTTCCTTCGGCAGTATTGTTGGGCGTCAGGAACAAAGTGCTTGTCATAAAGATGTTGTAGCCCAAGCTTTCTTATTGGACGTCCAATAAACATGGAGCTGTGACATATTGGCATGACGGTTGGCTCTAGGATGGACAGCACAGTTAACAACCAGGGATTTCATCAATAAATCTCCACTTGCATTAGCTGTGAATAATCTGTAATCCTGTCCTTTGAAGTCTTTACACCCCTTGCCTGTTCTTCATCCTTGGCAATGAAAGTGGTTTTAGGTGAGTGCTTCCAGACATGCCAGTTTCGTCACAATTGAAGATCTGGTTTCGGCAATAACCACCCTCTTTCACAAAATCTTGAAAGACAGGTAGATATTTTTATGCTGCTATGACATCAGCCGATGCACTCTCCCCATAGTAGTGGGCAAACTTGACTTCATAACCCTTCTTAAAGGCTGCCAACCAACCAACAGAAGCATTGAATGGTGGTTGAGAATTAATGCATTTCTTCTGTGCAACTGCAGCATAATAAACGTGTGTTTGATGCCTTATCTTCTTTCCACCCACTTGTGAAGGTAATGTTCTGTGATAACAAGCAGTAGGTTTCGTTGTGAAGTATCGGAGAACGTCCTGTTACTAGAAAATCTTGAGAATACATTCACAAAAGCAGTTAAGGCTTCCTTGTTCTTCTTAGGGGAACGTATGGTTGATTCGGGGCAGTTAAACCTGCGCATGATTTCACAGGTACGAGCACCACTTTTGATCTTTTCAAGCATCTCTCGTTTCATTTCAAGGGTGTATTTCCTCTTCTTGACCCACTTACGGTAGTCACGCTTGGCTTGGGGCTTTCCTTGTTGACCTTCTCTACAGCCATCATTACCACCAGAACCGCTCCCGACATTTACATTACGCACCTCACTCATCGTTAATACACAAGAATCGCTAATAGTTAAACAAGAATCTCGTGAAACGTAAGCACAATGGGTTATATAATCCAAGGTCACTGCACCGCTCGCTCTCGCTCATTCAAACTAACTGCCGTAAACAAAAAACATTCAGCGGGTCGGCAGATAACAAAAGACCGTGACAATGCGTGTTGCCCACTCTCCATTGACTCGTGAAACTGGTAATGAAATTATTATTCTTGAGAGGCTAGACATTTTAAAAGTGACGCGAAATATATGAATTGCGAATCTAAAACTCGCTAAACTTGAGATCCTACTGTATTTTGCTTTTTTAATATTGTATGTACAGTCACGGACTCTTCCATGTTGAACACCCAGCCAGACGACCAGAGAGGTAGAATCAGCTGACAATCTGGTAACAGTGGGGGTGGGAGGGGAAGGGGAAAAGATGAGGGAGTACTTGAGTTCCGTGTTGCATAATATAATCAAATATTATTTTGCACACAAAAGAGTGATGGAAGAGATGATTATGGTATAGGAACACATATTTACAGTAGCTTTATGTTGTTGTTATTGGGGTGTAATTGGTTATCTCTAATCTAAGGCTCCAAAGTCAGAAAAACACACAACCTTTACCTCCCCGCACTACTGCTACCCTTCCTCGGGTAAGGACAGTATGGGAAAACAGGTGCCAGTCAATGATTGATATCAACCAATTTCTTAGTTATAATTATTTTCCAAATCCGACATATAACTTTAAGCTGATACACATTTTTAGGTGATTCAACTGCTCATATATGCACATTATATTTCATGAGAGCATTAATATCGTATTATGAAACCATATGCTGTCGTAAGCCATGTTTCGACCTAGCCTCGCACTGGGTAAACCAAAATGACCTCTTTACACTTATTGTATTAAGAGGTGATTCTACTGGTATGGTGCTATGAAAGATACTGACAAGTAGTTGCCAATGACATTTAGGTGCATAATGCTATCCTTTATTATATTAAGAATTTACCTGGTGGCGCTGGGCCATCTGTAGCACACACACACACACACAAACACACACCTTAACCATTATTTTCACAAGTAATGAAATTAATAATGACATGACATAAAAAAAAAACAAGTGCCTAAAGATATAAATTCATCTGCCCCTGAATGGAATACAATACAAAATAGTGAAAACAATGATAATTTGCTTGTTGATCACGTAACAAGTGTCGACAGCCAATCAAAACTCGCCCGACCCTAGAAATTATAGAATTCAACAGAAAGCTCTTAGACTTCAAGATGAACCGCCGTGACACCCAGTTAGCTTTGAGAAGTCGCATTGTGGGCCAATGAGAAGCTGGACTCTATCCAAGCCATATCCCGTCAACTTGGAATACCAGCCGCTACTGTAATCAAGTGGATTAGAAGATGGGAGGAGAGTGGCAACCTGAACCACCTTGGTAAGTACTGATCAGACTGACATGGTATTGGTGATTACACAGGCACTCAAATATATTTACTTAGAATAAAAATTTAGTGGCTTTTAATCAGCATTTTCTTTTTGATTGAGAGAGACTTCCCCGGCCACGAGTGATTACTCCTGAAGACGATACAAGGGTTTTGAGAGCAGCTGAGGACAACCCTTTCACTAATGCTGTTGCAATTGGCGAAGATCTGCTGCTGGACGTGAGCGCTAGAACTGTCCGGAGGCGGGTATCCACCACAGAATTCCCGCCAAGAAAGAACGACTGACAGAGGAACACCTTGCTGCCAGACTCGCCTTTGCTCGTCGACTTTTTTTTTTTTTTTTTTTTTTTAGGATAAGCCCACCCGGGCACAGGTTACTGACCCACATCAGGGCCTGGGGGGCGAAAATATAATAATAATAATAATAATAATAATAATAATAATAATAATAATAACTATTATTATTATAATAATAATTAATGAATATTAATAACAAAATACTAAAACAAACAAAAATATTAAACATAATCATAATCATAAATAAATACAAAATCGAAAAAATAAATCAAGAATGAGAAATGATAAACATTATGTATGTTGTATTATCAAATTAAGAGAAACAATTGAGACCCTGCAATTGTGTGTAAATGAAGCAGAAAGTCAGATCAGCAACCTGGGACTTGGTCACAATTTTCGTGACGCCATATGGCAGCAGGGTCTATCATTAGACAACACATTATGCTTCCAATATCTTCCCATGAGCATATTTACGAGGAGGCTCGTAACGGATGCAGCACCTGTAATGTGTGTGGGACTATGTGTCTGTCCATGGTGTGGGTGACTTGGTTCAAATCGATGGGAGATTTACAGCGCAGAAATATTTGGACATTTTTGAGAATTTTTTCTTGCCCTCTCTGTAGGAAAGAAATTTCCCCTTCCCTCCTGGACCTATTGTTTTCGTTCATGACCGGTGCCCCATACACACGGCTAGAGTTGTCCAGCAGTGGTTTGCTGACCGTGAGAATTTGCAGCTGCTGGATTGGCCTAGTCGGGGGGCTGACATGAACCCTTTGGAAAATTTATGGGCGAATATTGTGAACACTTGGGAGCCTGCGAGGGAAAGAACGTCTACAGAGTTGTTCGCCCACACCAAGGTAGAATGGGAGGTATTTAGGGCCAAACATGATGTCCTTCGTAACCTTGTTAGATCGATGCCAAAAATACTTAATGCCGTTATCAACAAAGAAGGTGGGTAAACAGGATACTAAAGTGAAGAATTTACGTCGGTGAAAACAAGCCTTTTCCAGAAGTCCAGTGCCTAATGCCGACAAACAAGACAAATCTGATGGCATGGTGTTCCTTTGTCGATGATTTCTGATGCCCCAGTCCAACCTCATATCGTCTCTTATTAGGACAGCCTTTGTGAAAGCAAAAATCTAGCCACCTCATGAGCTTCGCTTTCACTAGGTCATTTCTCGTACTTCTGAGTGAAAAAATTTAATAAACTTTTGTATACATGTACAGAGTACTTTATTTTCTCATTAATAATAAGTGACTACAGTATTTTATTTTCCATTATGATAACAATTACTACTTGTTTCATTTCACGTAATAATACAACTTCCCATACTTTTTTATTGTAATATTCCTATTCTGTAAAAATAATTTTATTATAAGAATGGGTATTATAACTAAATATTTGGTCAACATCAACCATTGACTGGCACCTGTTCTCCCGTGCTATTCTTACTAAGAATTGGTTGTGGGAAGGTTAAAGATTGTGTGTTTCTCTGGCCTTGAACTCTAGATTAAAAATGACCATTTACAGTGCAAAAAATCAAACATTGTAATACTACTGTACTGGAAAAAAAATGTACGTACTCCTGAATTTAATAATCCCTTCTACTTCCATTACTTTGTAATGTATAATATAAAATAGGAATATATTATGCAACACGCAACTCAAGTATGTATTTGCACAGTATAATTATAAAGAGACCAAAAGCAGAACAATTCAGCATTACCCAAGCGGTTGGTCTTCGCACCAACCATGTGAGGATGCGGCTAAACATGGTGCAATCTTTCATAGTGCCGGGAACCCTTGTCCCCAGGCCCGGAACAGAAAGGTTTGGAGTGATTTTCTCAGATTTTCCAGCAATCAATTTATATCATTATTTATCATTTTTATATATTTAGTACATTCTCTGAAGGCTGAAGTAGGTTTTACTGTATCATGTTTCTAAGGTGTCTCCATAGGTGTGAGCATATTAATGAAATAAATCTCGATTTAGAGAACTAGTTCACTAAATCGAACAAAAAATAACGAAAGAAGTTCTTTCAGCTAAATCAAGAGTTCGTTATATCGGATTCTGTTAAATCGAGAGTAAACTGTATTGTATCATAGTCCATGAATATTTTTGAAGCTTCAGAACCAATGTAGAGTTTGTAATTAATTTTCATATTTTATAACTTTTATGGTTAAAAGAAAGATATGAAATCATACTTTTTAGTTTAAGTTAATTTTATGCATAAACTTTGATGTGCAGGATGTACTGGTGGATGAGATGAATGGTGCTCGAGGGTCAGACACTGAAGATTCAGAAGATGATCTTCCGGAGATTGATTTATCATCAGGCAACAAAGATACTTCAGTTTTAGAGGTAAGTGGCTAGCCTTATAATTTTGTTTTAGGCAACAAATTAATACTGTGCCTGTACAGTAATTATATTACCCTAGTAAATTATACCTCTTGAAAGCTTAGAATGTGTTCTTGGAGTGAGAGAGATTTCAACAAGTCAGCTTACAGTGAGGTTTAACGTCTGGAGTATTTTGACCAAATTTTAATTCCTTAGGTCACTTTTCTCCATGACATTCACACTTACTGTACACCGTAAGAAAATTTTTTCTAAAAATTTTTTTGTTTTTATATCATAATATATACTGTAGTATAGAAAAGACATGTCATTCTCGCTCTTAATATTTATTTTCAAGTAATTTTATTTTAAGATTTGGAAATTCATGTCTTATTCAGGGAGAAAAAATACTAGAAAAGGTCATACTATATTAATAACTATAGTTTTTGCTGGAAAAGTTACATTGAATAGGAACCAGCCTTTCTTCGATATACGCAGTCAGAGGGTTAATGAATACGAGCTCCTTCAGTTCTTAACAATCACATAGTGCAAATCATCAATCTTTTGTATGAAAAGGAAAATTCTGTTATTTCTCAATTTCTTTAAAACTGTACTCCTAATTACTGAAGCAAGCAGATACTACAGTCTAACATCACAAATTTGTGCCAGTTAGTATCCCACCGTGGCCAAATTTCCGAAAGGCACAGTTTTCTAGAATAAGCATAGGAAAATTTACTAATCATTTGCTAAAAAACTAAAGCTAAATGAACTTTATAAATCTTCTTTATTGTTTCAAACTTACACTTCGATGTCATACTTATTGGACAATTCTTTAACTCTTTTTTTACTATATGAATGATATTGTTCAGAGTTAAATGATTTAGTGAGCACAAGTTTAGTATAATTTGAACAAATTTTCAATTACAGTACATACAAAAAAAAATGAAAAAAATTGCTATGATAAACAATAAAGTTTATACATTGCATATCATAAAATACAAAGCCATCTTCTGGGTGATGTGACACAGTTCAGCCAGGCAGTCACTCGGCTAATTCAGAGACATGTAGCTGTTGCCGCATTGCGTTGTGTTTATGCAATGATGTTACATTGCAGAAAGCAGCATGGGTGAGCTGAGCCAGCTGGTGATGCAGTTATAGCCCACAACCTTCACACATACATATATACAGTACACTGTCCACACATACACACCCATGCTCTTTGTTTTCTTATTTTATAGTTTTATATTTTGTTTTACTTCTAAGCCATATCATTTATATAGAGTGGAATAAGTGTTAAATAAGTACCGGGTATATTTTTAAACAAAGCCGTGTATTTTCATGAGCATTTAAATGTCAAAACAATTTTATTCCCTTAAACCTGCACGTACAAGCGAAAAAATGGCAATGGGGAACGCTCATAAAAATGCATGGTTTATGGAAAAACGGATTTCTGAGACACGAATATGTGTGGTCAGCCTGTACAGTATTATGATTTATTTGTACTTACACTATTATTTGTGCCTTTATTTATATAGTTGGATGATATGGAGGATGCAGAGATGATAGGGCTTCTTGTTGAGGACTGTCCACCAGCTCAGTTGGCAGCAGTAACCACGCAAGTGCCTCCAGGTGTATCGAAGGACAGCATAGTGACCAACCTCCAAATGTTCACACGAGTGTGGAGAACTAAGGTGCCAGCAACACTCAATCATAATTTCTTCAACCAGTACTTTGATAAACTACTCCAGGTATGTTTTCTTTCTTTATATAAATTTTGTCTGATTCTAATTCCATCCTTCCATTTTATAATTTTTCACTGCCTCTTTAATTTACCTACTATCAGCACTAAGTCATAAGCATAAACCTCCCTGGGTAGATTGATCAAATTAAAACACAGTTCATTGGTTTCAGAATATATTTTAAGCCCCACCATATACCTGGAACACCAAAGCCATGCATCAAAACAATATCATGCAACAAGTAATACAAACAAGACATAGCATTATTATAATCATATTAACAATCTTCCCCTTTTTCATTTCTTTAATACAAAAGATATCCACAAGAATACATACAGGTTTTTTTTTACTTGCACAATTACAATTATCAATTATGAAACAAAACAATAAGTATGATTTTGTTAATGCAATAATGATATACTTTTTCAAAATTATAAATTCAGCATTAAATTTCTTTTTATATAAAACTTTACACACAAATATTTGCTCAAATTACTAGATGAAAGTAAGTTAAAATATTTACCCCCTCTTTTGTGTTGTCTGCTCATACACTTATATTGGACCATTTTTATTTCCAGAGTGTGTACTTCAAAGTGCGCAAACTGGCGCCATGTATTATAGCAGGATTACAGGTGAATGTAGAGTTACCAGAAGAGGACGAGTTGCAAATTAGTCTCTTTGGAATGGTTCTGGGGCAAGGCTTCCCTGCACCTTCTCAGTCTCAGGCTGTCACCTCTAGTACCATGAGTCAAGTTGGTCAGTCTGATATCCCACTTAAGAAGGCTAAACAAGGTAATATATGTGTGGTAATTTCTCTTCTTTTGGTGGTTAGTTAGTTATTACTGGACCTTTTTCACTCTTACATGTTTGATCTCACTTTGGCATGAAGTGGCCATTCATACTCTCAAAATGTTGTAATAAATATCCCCAAGATTCCCAACTGGTTTACTTCTTTTGCTGTATACAACTGCACATCACTCATCACTAACACATTCATCTCTATGTGTCACCTAACAGCATACAGTACAGGGGCCACATACAGAGGGCCCCCCAAATTAGAGGAGATTAGGTTCTCAAAATGGCCACAAATCGCCAAATCCGCAAATAACATTTGCTGACCGATCGGGGGGTTACATTTTACTTGTGTACAAAGAAATGTATATTCCCTTTATGTGTTTGCCCTGAGGACAATTATTTCTTTTACCTGTAAAATATAATATATATATATATATATATATATATATATATATATATATATATATATATATATATATGTGTGTGTGGACACACACAAAACACATACAAATAAATAATAATTGGAAAATCCTCTCACAAATAATCAGAAACAAATTTATTAAAATTGTGACAGTGTACCCTCAAGTCCATGCTTTATTTATAAAGTAATAAAGCACGGTCTTGAGGGCAGACTTACATTTTTAATAAATTTGTTTCTGATTATTTGTGAGAGGATTTTCCAATTATTATTTATTTGTATGTGTTTTTTGTTTGTGTGTCTACACAAACACACATACAGTAAAACCTCGCTTAACGTCAGGGTTACGTTCCTGAAAACGCAACGTTATACGAAACAACATGAAGCAGATCAATTTTCCCCATAAGAAATAGATAAAATACGGGAGTTACGTTCCTGAGCCTTCCTTTGCCCCATGAAATACATTACATATACAGAAAATCATTGCCATTTCTATAGAAAATAGTGCATGCATATACAACTACTAAGTTTGCATTGGTATTCACTGATGGGCAGAGGTGGTAGAGCGAGTGTGTGGTGGGTAGTGAAGTTGAGATGGCGGATGGCGGGAGCGGAGGAGGGTGGCGAGTCACTGAGACTCTGCGGCTGCCTCCTCCTCTTCCTCCTGGGCTGACTGGGGTTCCTCTGCCGCTGTTTGCTCCTCCTCCGTTGATGTTTGCTCCTCTTCCGTTGAAGTATGCTCTTCTTCCGTTGAAGTATGCTCCTCTCCTGTTGTTGTTTGCTCCTCTTCCGTTGAAGTACTGTACAGGTATGCTCCTCTTCGTTGATGTTTGCTCCTCCTCAGCTGCTGGCTGTTGTGAAGAAGCTGCTGATGCTTCTGCCGCCCCGCGACAAAAAAATTAATCCAGTGTTGATTGCTTGGTGCAACTCTTCTTCTTCTCCTTATAGATCTCATTGTAACAACCAAGACTGTCATCAATGCTGCGGTGAATCTTTGAGCTACATGTCTCGGGAGTCCGTTTTTCCGCAAACTGTGCATTTTTATGAGTGTTCCCCGTTGCCATGTTTTTCGCAACACTTATTCCACTCTATATAAATGATATGGCTTAGAAGTAAAAAAATATATAATATAAAACTATAAAATAAGAAAACAAAGAGCATGGGTGTGTATGTGTGGACAGTGTACTGTATATATGTATGTGTGAAGGTTGGCTGGCTCAGCTCACCCACACTGCTTTCTGCAATGTAACATCATTGCATAAACACAACGCAGTGCGGCAGCAGCTACATGTCTCTGAGTTAGCCGAGTGACTGCCTGGCTGAACTGTGCCACATCACCCAGAAGATGGCTTTGTATTTTATGATATGCTATGTATAAACTTTATTGTTTATCATAGCAATTTGTTGTTGTTGTTGCTGTATGTAATTTTAAAAAATTAAAAATTTTTGGGTCATCATCTATAAGGATTTGCATACCTTGTTGGATCATGTTGAACGCTTCTGCCATCCTCTTGGTAGTTAGCCTTCGTTGAGGTTCTTCTTCGTCGTCTTCATCTTCAACGGGACTGTGTTCTGTTAACAGTTGCAGATCTTTGTTGGTGAGCTCTTCTGTATGGGATGCCAGGATGTCCTCAATATCCTCTGATTCCAGCTCATCAAAGCCTGCCTGTCTAGCCAGACTGAAGATATCCCTATTCACTGCTGGGACTAAGTCCGTGAATCCTGTGAAACTGTTGACGCACTCGGGCCACAATTTACCCCACACACCATTCAGGCAACTTTCTGAAACCTCTTCCCATGCCTTGCCAATGTTGAAGCCACGCCAATATTCTCGGATTGTAGGTTTATTATCTCCGTCTGTAGCCTTGAGCGAGGCAGGGTCCAAGCTCGTCGCATTTTAAATAATGCCCATCACCAGTCTCCTTATGTCTCCTCTCTAAATGAAAAAGCTTCCTTGTCCTAGGTATGGAAACGTGTGCAGGAAATGGCAGGCAAGTTTTCATCTAATCCTCCCCCAGTTTTCAGGGCTTATGATGGCAGCTCTGTTGCTGCCCCTTAAGAAGTTGCTGAGCTTTTTGCTACAGCATTTACAGGGTATCTTCTATGGCAACTCGATCCTCAGCGTTTACGTGGATATGTGAGCTGTGGAAATTATTTGTACCAAGAATCTGTGACTTGTAAATATTTTAACTGACAATCTGCCGTCAGTAGCCCTGTAACGTGTTTGTATGCGAGGATAGTGAGCTTTTGTGACCGTTTAATTGTTTAATGTTTTCATTATCAGGGATAACTCAATGATCTCTCAATATATTGTATGTAATCCTTGTTTCTCTTTCTTTTGGAACTGGAAATAAGGTTGTAGATATTGGTTTCATGTCATTCTTAAAGTTTATTCTTATCATTAGAATAATTTTGGCTGATGGTATGTTTGGTTATAATTTTTAATATTGTCTCCAGATGATGGTGAAATGATATTTAAAATGGAAGAGTTAATTCCATCAGGAGAAGATAATACAAAACCAAGGTTATCTCAACAGCAAGAAAATCAACAACCACCACATCCTCCACACCCAATAGTTTCCAAACAGTCCGCCTTGTCAATAACTCCAGTACCATCAGTGCCATCTATACCTTCAACAGCATCAATCAGTTCATCTGCCTCCTCTGCTAGATCATCCACAAGGTCCAGGAATGATCCAAAATACTTAAACTACCATGTAAGCATTCTTAGGTTACTGGTGATCATTTTAACCATACAAATCTGTGTGTACGTATGTCGCTTTGGCTCTCCTAAAATCATTTGTACCACAGAATTATTTCTTAAAGTCTTTCACTGTTATCCCTCCAGCTATAAGTTCTTATCTGCTCATCATTTAATAAATGATTATTCTCTATTTTCTAGTTTTCCCCAAGAGAGAGGTATGGTGTGGAAATCACCCCACTCTCCTACATCCCCGGTGCCCGTATAGACTGCCATTTGGGAAACTTAAATTTCTTCTTTATTAGGGAATCTACCAGTATTAAAGAGGTGAGTTATGGATATGTTTATCATGTCCCATATACATGCAGAGATGATAATAATATTGGCACTTGATACAACTCATAATATTTACAATTTAAATTAAATATAAGCATACACATTCAGTATATTGTTTTCATGCATGCGTGTTAAAAAAAAAAAAAAAAATTGTTGATTCATTAAGTGCCAAGTATGGGAAGTGGCTGTAAAATGATGATGATGATGATGAGTAAATTTCACCATAGGCCATTCCTGCAGTGTCTCAGAAACCCTTGTTGATGTGGAACCTGGAGGACTCTGAGGAAAGAGCCTACATAGATAAATTTTTGCACAAATGTAGAACTTCATACATTGAACACTTGACTACACTAAATCTACCATTTTCAGCAACCCTCTCTTAGTGTATCTTTATATACTATACTGTATTCTTTTATATCTTCTGTCCTTTATTGCTAAATATTTTGTAAAGGATTTCCTGCATATAATAGTATGCCTTAACCCCTACACCCCGCTCTCGGGTGCCGTTGACCTTACCCCCCACTCGGGGTAAATTGAGAAAAATCTACTTTAGAATTTTTTTTTTTAACCTTTTTAAATGACAAACCAATCAAAAAGAAGTAAGAAAAACTATATATAGACCCTCTAGAAACTTCCCTGGGACCGCAGCTGCGGGAAAATGGCAGCGCAGAGTGAGGGAGATAGGAGATAGTATTGATTTGACGCGAGCGCTCGTGGTCACGCACGCACTTCGCGGCCATTTAGAATTTATTTTATTTGCATTATTTTTAATAAAAAGTGCTCGGTGACACACACAGTCTGTCGCCAGGATGTCTTTGTGTTTGGGAGAGCAAGTAATGCATAGAAATAATTATTGGAAAAATAATTCCACAAATAAATACATTTATAACAATCATAGCATTGTTTTCCAGTAATACTACGCTACAATACGGCAATACTACTTTTAGCAAAATTACTTTGATACAACATGATAAAATGGACAAACAATGAAAATGAAACAAACCAAAGTGGGTGCTTACATTCCAGAAGCTTCCATGTGGCCGAGCGTGTGGCATGACAGGCAAATATTCATGCTGGAACCTGATAACCATCGCTGGGCATTCAAACAATGCCGTGAATAGGCGCGCATTCCGGAACGTCACCCGGAGCGCCCTAGATGATCGTTCCGGAATGTCAACTGGGGTGTAGGGGTTAAAATCTGACATATCTGTAATATATTCAAGGTACATGTATTGTGAAAGATTGTTTGTGTCTCCACAGAGCGGTGGCCTGAGTGGCTTTATGGGGAGTTTTGTGACGGAAGTTCTGGCTCTTGTGCGTGCTCACGTTGCAGCTTTGGGAGGCAATGCTATGATTGCATACTTTATGTCAGAATGTGTTCTCCTACATAATCCTTATAAGAATCAGGTGAGTTTTAGTGTTTCTTTTTTATTATTATTATTATCCCTTTGATCAAATTAGAGGGAATATAATACAGTGATCCCTCGGTTAACGAATTACCTTCCGTAAGATTCTTCACTTCGGTTAACGAGAAAACCCTCGGTTAATGAATTCCTTACAAATTTTTCCCAACATGTTTTCGCCTGCATTTGGCTGCCCACCAGCTGTAGTATTAGTCCGTCAATACAGTACAGTAATCGGTTTTAGGGCTTAAATTCCTTACCATTTTAGTAAATATCAAGAAGGTTGTCCTATTCAATAATTTTAAAAGTTTTATATTAAATTTTTTAGTCATTTTAACAATTATTGAACATAATTGAAGTACAGGAAGCTAGTTTTTTGCGCACCAAACAGCCACTCAACACACCAAGCTTGGCGTCAGTTTGTTTACCAGTTCAGAGGAAGGAACATCTTGTTTGAGACTTCAACATAAACGCTCTTTTTCTGTGTTTCCAGTCAAATTATTGGTCATTTTTAAATATATTTTACATATTGACAATATATAATGCAGTACAGTGTTGATTTAAAGAAAATAATCTTGAATTACACCAAGTGAACTTAAATTTTATGGGTGAAATGGCGCCATGGGGTGACTTCTCTTCCACCCCAATGCCTTCTCTTCTCCCTTCTCCTCCACCCCCATTCTAATTCTCATCATCATCAACCAGGAGCCTTCTACATGCACACCTCAAAGTGAGTGTACTTTATTGCATTTATTTTTAGTTCGTATGTAATTTTCGGTGAGCTGGAACCAATTACCCAAAAACCCATTGAAACAATGGTTTCAGTTAACAAATTTTTCGGTTAACAAGCAACCTTCTGGAGCAAATTGTGCTTGTTAACCGAGGGACCACTGCAATGATATAAATGTCAAGTACTTACTGGTACAATATAATTTGAGCATTTGCCTTTTTTATTTTATTATGTATAATATAAATGAATCCCCATGGTTTATAAGGTCCTCTTTACACCTCTCTGTACTTTATATTGAGTTTTTAGGTCATCTTTCCTGTCATGGAATTTACCTCTATATGAATTGTTGTCACCCCACAAGTTATGGCTTGAAACTATTCTTTTGGTAAGATATTGTCAGCAAAGTTGTTGGCCATTCTTTTGACTGATATTGATTAACCTTTTATGAAAATTTATTTGTTATATTTTCTTTATCCAGAAGCAATTTTGTTGTTGTTTTTACACTTAAACTGTTTACAGTTTATTGAGTCCAGTTTACACAGGAATCACCGATGGTGAAACACATACTGAACAGCGAAACATATCGTGTCCAGATTTTTGTTCGCTCTCAAATTTCCCCAAGCCTGCCATGTCAAGGTGAACTCCCATATTATGCTCCCAGATGTCTTGGAAAAATTCCCCTTACTGGTGATAGTCAGCTGTCAGCCCTTGGTAATACACTTCCAGCCATTCACATTTGAGGGACAATTACTTTACAATTAGTTAATGTTAAACAGTGAGCAATTACTAGCTTCATATTGTTGAGTTACTTTACTGCTGGAATGTCTCTCACTTCTAGTAGTTCACCAAAAATATTTTTTGAATAGTCCTCACCCCCTTACTCCACTATGGTTTTAAATTAGACAATGGTTTTAAATTACCAGACAAATTTAGATTTAGGCGTGAAATAGGTAAACATTGGTTTGGAAATAGAGCAGTGGATGAGTGGAACAAATTACCAAACATCATTATTGATTCAAATACGCTGGATAGCTTCAAACATAGGTTGGATGGATATATGAGCAATCGAGGTTGGGTGTAAATGGGACTGCCCAGTATGAGCGAATAGGCCCGCTGCAGTTTCCTCCATTCTTATGTTCTTATGTTATTCTATCTCAAATTCAATATTTGCATATGATTTTTAGTCCATGGTAGGAAAATGGCAAGGCCAAAGGTATCGCATCACATTTACACCTCAGTGTATATCCTGATTTGTATGTTATGTTAACTTCTTGATCAAGTTGTGATAATTATTGTGATCCTAGAAGTACTGTGACCATGATAATATTAACCCCTTCACTACCGTAATGCCACTTTTGGCTATTGCCAGGTGATTTTATTCAGCTCAGAAGTGTCCCCCTACACAAGGGGTTAATAATTATCAAAATGAATTTAATGATAACATTACCTCTGTTTCAGGGTCAATGTTTGATTAATGTGGGAGGTGACGTAGTACAGGTACAGTACACTGCAGGGTCTTCACTACATGATGGCTCTGCTGAGGAGTAACAGTTCAACAAACTTCACTTGGTACAAATATATCTTTTATGGTAGATAGAGAAATGATCTTTTCTTTTTACACTTACTGGCAATTTGATAAATCTCATAAAGTTATCCAAGAATGGAATATTTTGTGTTATGCAATGTTAGGAGAACAAAACTTTCCTGCTTTTGGTTTGGATGAAGAAGTGTTTAATAATAAACTTGACGTGAATTGTAATACAGTCAACCCTCACTTTACGCGATTAATACAACCCACAGGGTACCGCGGAAAGTGAGAAACGCGTAAAGTGAACAACATAACATATGGGATTAATTGAAATAGAGACCAGGCCGACCCCCAAACTCCACTTTTTGACGACACACAACTATGTTGTAGTAAAAATTTTATCTTAACTTTATGATGGTATGCACACACAATTAATATAGAAGAGGTTAGGTTAGGAAAAATAAAGGTTAAGTTAGGAAAAATAAAGGTTAGGTTAGGAAAACTAAAAGTTAGGTTTAACACTTACGTTAGTAGAAGAGATGGGTCGGCATACGGGGATGGAGGCTGGTTCCGAGGCAGAGGGCAGGCTACTGGCCCTCAGGTGAGTCACCATCACTGTCATCCACACTTGTCAGGGCCTCCCTGACAAATCCCTCAAAGTCATCATCACTGTCTCTACCTCTGTCACTATCACTGGCTTGGGCTGGCTGTGGTGGGTTGCGGGCGAAGAACTCTGTTATGCTTTGCTGACGGCTGGTGTTTATGTTGTCGTGATAAACCTTGAAGTAGGGCTCCATAGTCTGCAACAGCTGGGTAGTGAAGATTTCATACCTGTTTGCGTCAGGGTCGTTGGAAAGGAGGAGCTTGACTTTCTCGATACACTCGATGGCACCCCTAACATTACTATGGGATAAGCGGTGTTCTTCTTGGGATGACGCACCACCTGCCTCTTCACTGATGTCATCATCATCTACCATCTCGTCGGTAGTCACATCAGGATCCCTTATCACCTCCAGGATGTCGTCGTTGGTGGTCTCGGAGAAGCCTGCAGCTGTAACACTCTGCGCAGCTTCTCTGGCAAGGTCCACTGCTACTGCAACAGTCTGAACCTCACCAGTCACAGATTGACTCTGCCTAACGGCCGGAATGCCTTGCAACACATGTCTCCATGCGTGACAAACAGTTGCTACAGACAGCTGATCCCATGCCTCCACCAAGAAGTCCACAGCTTTCTTGATGTTCAATATTCTCCAGAATTGTTTTAAAAGTACTTGTTGCTCTGCCAACTGTTGATCCTCGTCGTCTTCGCTCTTGCTATCGGTGGTGGTGTCGCTCAGGTTACGCAACTCTTCCCTGGTGTTGGTGTAGTCATTCAGGAGCTTGAATTTTTTTGTAGAGAATGCAGCTTTTACATTACAGATTAACTCTTGGTCCATGGGCTGTAATATAGACGTAGTGTTGGGAGGAAGGAAGACCACTTTTACGTTGGGGTGACGCTCTAACAGTAGGGGCGAGTGTCCTGGTGCGTTGTCCAGCAGCAGCAAAATCTTGAATGGCACATTCTGTTGTTCACAGAATTTCTTCACATCGGGAACGAAACAGTCATCAAACCAGGAGAGGGACAGTGTAGAGAACATCCACGCCTTACGTGCGGTCAGCCAGTGGACATTTAGCTTGGTCATGTCCATGCTCTTGTAGGCGTGTGGCTTGCGTGCTGTGTGGATCACCGATAACTTGAGCTTACAGGTACCGGAGGCATTGGTGGTAAACAGGACGGTGATGCGCTCCTTCTGCAACTTCCGGCCCCAAATCTTGCTGGCATTCTTCACAACGAAGGTCTTGGGAGGTAGCTTTTTCCAAAAAAGACCAGATTCGTCCATGTTAAACACCTGGTCGTCGGTGTACTGTCCTTCCTCCATAATCTCACGTAAAAACGGAGGAAATTCCCTAGCTGCAACACAGTCAGCACTAGCTTCTTCACCACCAATGTTGATATTGGTGATCTTGTTCCTCTTCTTAAACCTCTGTAACCACCCAGAGGAAGCATTAAAGGGTTTGGGCTCTGTAATTCCCATCTTTCGTGACACTGCAGCATACAGTTCACGTGCGTACTCCTTAACAGAGCGCGTGTCCACCGCCATGTTCCGTCGCGTCTGACGCACCAAGTAGCTCACAAGTAATTTTTCCATCTTGAGAAGCACATGGTTGTGGAAATACTTGATCATAGAAGCACCTGTAGCCTTTGTGATGTTCATGTGCTCCTTTATCTTGGCTGCATCCTTCTTTATCGTCCGGATCGTAGATTCGTTCACACCATGCTGGCGCGCCAAATCAACCTGTCTTGTTCCTTTCTCCAATTCTTGGATGATCTTGTACTTCACCTCGTAGCTTAAGGAACGTCGTGTCTTCTTTGGCTTAGGGCGGCTGGGTCCAGGCAAGGAAAGGTTTCTCTCTGGGGGCGGTGGTCCGGCGGAAGCCATTTTACAGAACAATGGATGCACGATTACACGGTGTGGCCTGGAGGGATGAAACTGCTGCGGCTAGGTCAAGCGTCGTCTTTCCTCCCTCCCTCCCTCCCCCGGATGGACACGTCATATTACTTTAAACCAATTACAGCTAGCAGCAGAGGGAGGTAGGGATGCATCGTCAATCACAGTCTGATACGTCATATGACGTCACTGATAACGCAACAGAGACATGCACTGCGCAACCTTACTGCGCGGCTTGCCCAGGCGGAGGCGGGAGCAGGCGGGAGGGGCGAATCTAAAAATAGTGTCGAGCCGGACACTCTCCGCGTAAAGGGGTACACGCACCGCGGAATGTGAGCATCTCGGTTTCGGCAGGGTACCGCGTAAACATGGGAACGCGGAATGTGGGACCGCGTAAAGCGAGGGTTGACTGTACTGTAGTGATTTTCGTAGGGCAGCCAATAATTGATGTATGGTGTGTTCACTGTACGATATCCAAAGTATTTGGTCTTGTGGACCTTCATATTTTGAATTAGTATCCTGTTGCAATATTTATATATCTTACCTTCGAGGTTTATGTGCCAACAATAAGTATTAAGCTTTTTGTATATTGTGTTTTTGGTACATTAAAATTTCTTGAATGGAAGTACTGCATACAAGTATTGTGGAATTAGGAATTTATATATACAATATATATATATATATTTATTTATATATCCACAATGAAAACGTGGATAAGATAAATCTTGATAAAATCACACGGGAAAAGGGAAACAACGGAGCAACGGTGCTCCGTTGTTTCCCTTTTCCCGTGTGATTTTATCAAGATACATATATATATATTAATGAATTCTGATTTAAATGTATGAGTACAGTATAAGTTCCTGAAACTTATGGTAATTTGTCAATTAAATCAATTCTGGTCAGTTTATGATGGATCAAAATTATTACTGTCATGTTTTGCCACTTCCTCATCAGTAGGTTACAACTTCTCTTAAACTAGTTTAATGTGAGATACATAGAATTGGTTGATGTACACATTCATGGTCAATCTTTTGATGTTAAACATCAATCTTGGATCAAATTAAGGAATACTATCATAAACATATTGAATAATAAAAACATGAATAGATTTAACCATGTCATAATTATATCTATTACTCAATCTTCAATACTATATTTACATTGAGTAAATTTTTCTATATTCACTCCACCCAAACACATACTCTTGCCTTTGTTCACAAATCTTCATCTCTTCTTACCTCTATTTAAGATACTCTCTCTCCTTTGTTTATTTTTTTTTGCTCTACAGTGGATTAATCCCTTTCTACACTTGCTCTCAGTTTCAGCAACACTCACTCACTGACCTTTCCCATTATCCCACAATTCAGTGCCACCAATACTCTGCAACAACTACTCAAATTTATCCATTTACACTGTTGTCTTACCTTTGCCAAGATTCTTACAAACTACTAACATAGTTACCTTGCTTTATATATATATATATATATATATATATATATATATATATATATATATATATATATATATATATATATATATATATATATATATATATATATATATATATATATATATATATATATATATATATATATATATATATATTAGGGTGGTCCAAAATATCACATATTTGTATACGTTTTCTCCACAAGGTTTATTTTTGTCCATTAGGTACAAAATGCATCCCAGAAAAAAATTGGATCATTTAAAGCATATTTAGAGGTCAATCCAATGTCCTCTTTTTTTCCATTTAGTACGTAATAAGGATTTTTCGGGGCTAGATAAACACATTATAAACACATTGTCTTTATTCAGCAAAATACAATTATAAGTTTTACAAATTACAAACTAAATAACTCTAGAACACCAATACACATTCTTTATTTGTATCCCTTCATCATAGCAGCTTTGCTTGCCGTTGGTAACTTCTTGCGATGAGCTGCAACAACCTGTAAAAGGTACTGCTTTTGGTCCTCATTTTGCGTTATAGACTCATTATAACGCTCTATGAGAGCAATTGCCCTCTCTGCGCTGTCATTCACCACCTTCATATTTATCGCACGATCTCTCATTGTGATAAACACTTCATCGTCTTTCCATGTTTTGGGATCCTTACTCAAGAACAGTTGTGCTCTTTCTTTGCCATCTAGTGTAAGAACATCAAAAATATCTAATGTACGCTCAGTAACAAATGAGGCCACATTACTGATAGGAGTTTCATCAGATAGGACAATACGCCTTGAAAAGTCCTGTTTCTTTGGGCACTGAAAGTTTTGTACCATATTCTTCTTGGTTTCAGTATCGATCCTGTCATAAAATAAGCTTAGACCGATAAGATGTTCTGATAGATACCAGAGATGTCGGCTAATTGCTGCTTGTGCTGCGTGTGCAACTTTCTCATGAGGATATTCCTTTAAAACCTTCATTAGCTGCAAATCATTGAATGGAGCTCGAACAGCCATTGGTGCTTCATGCCAGAATCTCACATACATTATGCTCACAAACAAAGCCAGTTGTGTGATATTGTTTTCTTCCCGTGTTGATAATGTGAATTGATGTTTGAACAGATAGATTTTGAGAGCATAGATTCCTTTTGCCATCCATCTTGCATGGTGTGTAGTTGAGTTACAACCTCTGCAGGACAAGGTGTGTATTTGCAAAGTGTCTTTGCCCTTTCCAAATAGGCAACTAGGCTATATACATTGAAATATACCCAATATAATGTGTTGTGTATATTAAGACTGTATCATGCGGACAAGAAAATTCAGTCCTACACTACAAGTATAATATGCAAAATGGATTGACCTCTAAATGTTAATGAATATGGATAAAATTTTACAGAC